AAATTGGAATACACCTACAATACATTTTTCTTTAGGAGGGACCTTATATTAATCACTCCAACTGTCACATGCAAAGCATGCAAGGGTAAGTGTTGCTAAGAAGGCAGTTTATCATATTAAGGATAAATTCACCTTCCTGCCTGTGGAGCTTTTCACAGAAATACATCAGCTTGACTTTTTTTTTCCTTTTTTTTTTCAGTAAGACCATAGTGAGAAAATCCTTTCATTTTATGCTAATTCAAAGTGCCTCCAGTGAGGATAATTCAAATGATGTCACTGTGACCAATAAGATTAAAACCAGATGAATTAGAGCATCTATAAATAGAAGAACATTCCTTCTGCATTTTTTTCTTTCAGCTTCCATGAAGTTTTGGACTGGCTTGATTTCCCTTGTATGCTTCATTACAAGATCTTCCAGCCCTTTTAACAGCTATCCCTTCAGACAAATCTTTTCCTTATGGGACTGATGCTTGCCTTTACAAAGCAAGTTCTCTGTGTCTTTTATTCATACCCTCTTTTTAAATGGCTACAGTTTCGATAGCCTGTAAAATACACTAGCTATATTATATGACAAAACCAGAGTAGAATTCTGGGGTCACAGTAGTCTATTTTGTAGGCAATATGCTATTTAGGTGGATATTCAACTCCATTGAAAAATACTGGCTTTATGTTAGTTAACAATGTAGAACCGTAGTGATTCAGGGCTGTATGCCTATTCTGTAGTCTAGGGATGGGGGTTTTTTGCTGTTCTGGTTTGAATTTGGGTGTGTGACTCACTTCCAACCATGCAGGCTTCCTCAAGGACAACCTTAGTTCTGTGAAAAAGCGCAAAGGACAATTTGGTTTTTGTTATGTCTCTGATGCCAGGTCTAATTTTCAGAATACTAGCATAACAATATTCTAGCAGAACTAAAAAATATAGAAAAGATTCGGGGCTGGACAATTGTTTAAGGGGAGACATTGTACAGAGGGAACTCTCAGGATACATACATTTCTCATTGTACTGAGTTTATTCCTGGTATTATTTATGCATAGCTTTTCAGAAGAACTGTTTTCTATATTTAAAAAAAAAAATCAGTATTCCAACTTGACCTCAACTGGTCTGCTTTGGACCTTGTTCTCATTAAGGTTTTGGTTACAGAAGAAGTTGAACACTATGCCCTGGCTTAGCTCAAGGACGTCAGTAGTTTCTTTGCTGTCACTGCAGCAACTCATGTACTTCAGGTTATGAACACGAGTCAGTGTTCCACTAGATGAGGTCAGAGATCTGGGAATCTTACAGAATTGACTGCTGTAGAATAACCCAAAAGCCATTAATCTTAAAACAAAAATGACATTGATTTCAGTACTTTTGGTACGCCATGCCTTTGAATATTTGAGAGCAAACCACCTGTTTAAGCTCTTGCACATCTTCAGAGCCGCTCTTGTTCTGGCTCTGTTTGCTAGCAGTCATTTGCTGCAGCTGTGTTATTTGATGTTTCAGTTCATCTACTTTATTAAAAGCTTTGCTTTGGGAATTCAACATAGTTTCTAGATCTTCTGTGGTATCAAAATTTACATTTCAAATGGGATAACTAACTTGTGGAATTTCCAATGTGAGTGACTATTAACAAGAGAAATGCTTCAGAATGACATTAATGAGCATCCTACCTGCTTTTTGCAGGATTTCCTTCTCTTGAAGAGTATTTCTCTCTTTGACTACACTTAGATCTTCCTCCACTTTTTTCACTATACCTTTTGATCCCAGAATTTCTTGTGATCCCTTAAGCTACACTTCCAAATCCTAAAATATGCATGACATTACTTCTACATTTATTACCCATGTTCTTTTTTTGTCATCTGAAATAAATGGTCTCTTTTCTCTCTTGGCACAGTTCCATGATATAAATCTTTCACCTACACAGCTGGTTTAAATGCGCTTTTTGCTGTTCCGTACCCTTAAACTGTCTCTGCTGCCAGAATATTTGTAATGTGGAGCCATTCCCTCAGATGTACGCATCATTGTAAAGTGAACACTCATCAAGAATTACCATCTAAAAGATGTCTGAGATTATGTGTGAACAGGGATATACTTCCATTAATTTCATGACACCTTGTGCTAAAAGTTAATGAATAATAGTTTGGGGCTTTTTCCAGTTGCTGAAGTACAATAGTTTGTAACATAATCCTTAATACAGATGCCTAAAAACAGAAAAATCAGCTCCTACAGACTTTGCTGGGAATTATCTGTCCATAACTAAAGGCAAAAATTTGAACCAAAAATTTGGTTTTGGCTGCAACAGAGTTAATTTTCTTCATAGTAGCAAGTATGGGGCTATGTTTTGGATTTGTGCTGGAAACAGTGTTGGTAACACAGGGATGTTTTCGTTACTGCTGAGCAGTGCTGACACAGAGTCAAGGCCTTTTCTGCTTCTCACCCCACCCCACCAGCGAGTAGGCTGGGGGTGCACAAGAAGTTGGGAGGGGACACAGCTGGGACAGCTGACCTGACCAATGGTGTATTCCATATCATATGACATCATGCTCAGCATATAAAGCTGGGGGAAGAAGAAGGAAGGGGGAGAAGTTCGGAGTGATGGCGTTTATCTTCCCAAGTAGCCGTTACGTGTGATGGAGCCCTGCTTTCCTGGAGATGGCTGAACCCCTGCCGGCTGATGGGAAGTAGCGAATGAATTCCTTGTTTTGCTTTGCTTGCGTGTGCGGCTTTTGCTTTACCTATTAAACTGTCTTTATCTCAACACAGGGGTTTTCTCACTTTTACTCTTCCTATTCTCTCCCCCATCCCACCCGGGAAGAGTGAGCGAGTGGCTGTGTGGGGCTTAGGTGCCAGCTGAGGTTAAACCACGACAACCATATTTAATGTTCTAAATCTGGAAGTTCTAGTCTCAGTTTCCAGATGTCTAACATAATACTGCAATATTCCCTCAGACAAAATTGCCATTTGTTCCTATATGAATGTTAAGTAAAATCTCATGGGTTAAAACTAACTTGTATTTAACACTCTCTGTAGTTGAAAACTTAAAGGTGAGCTTGTTCCTTTTACCTCTAGTATATGCCAAAATTCTTCCAAAATGAGACTGAACAGATCAGACTTAATGACTTTTCATCCTTTGTATTCTCTCTTCCACAGTAATAATAATAAACGTGCACTAATGTGATGCCTTTCATCTAAAGGTCTCAAACCTCTTGGCATACACTAAGGAGAAAACAGAAAATTCATCTTGCTTAAACATCAGTCCTTTTAGCTTTCAAGCCTTTTAATAGCTTTTCTTGCTAGTATTTATTAATGATCAGAGGTATTACTGATTAAAGAAATGCTTCTGTTTCCCAGTCTGTCATTGCCCACAGGATTCTGAAAACAAAATGTAGTATTTAATGGTGGCATCAGAAATAGCCAATTTAGAAAGGAGAGACTTCTACTTTTTTATTTGGAAACTGGAACGAAACAGAAAATAACATTGTGTCTAACTGTTTTCCTTCTTCCAGATTTATCCTAGTCTGAGGCTATCTCTTTAAAGATTCAAGGCAATATGCTCCAGTGGTACATAAATCAGCCACATTCTATAGACTTGGAGGATCTGAAATGTGCAAGTTGAGCATATGTCCCTCAGAAAATATTTCAGTTTTATCAGGCTGATACTGAATTTAGAAATTAAATTGCTAACGACACCACCTTATTTCCAGTTCCTATCATGTTTTACGTTACTGATTCCCAAAAGACTGCATTTCTTACACAATAAATCAGAACAGTAAACCATGTGCATAAATTTTCATGTCTTCATTCTTCACTTCTCCTGAATTTTACTTCAAGTACCCACAAGAAATCAGGATCTTACTTTCCCTCCTCCCCTATATTGCTTCAAACTTCTACAGAGCCAGGACACTCTTCCTTTTGAAACCCATATTAGGGATTTCCCTGACTCAATTTAAAAATTTTTTTAAAATGGCTTATCTGCATCTCTGCCACTGTATCCTCTCTGCTTTTCTGCAGAAGATAGAGGTTGTTCTGCTACAGATCTACACACTGAGAGAATGGAGTCTGAATAATGCTGGGGAAGGCGTATTCAATACAGTTTCCAAGTCTAGACCTTCAAGGTGTTTTCTTATCTAATATGCAAGGTTGCTGTCATAGGGCTGGGGACAGGTCTGGGAGGTGAGTTTATGTGATAGGAAGGACCAATAGTATTAGAAGGAAGTGGAACTGTTGAGCACAGAGCGTGGCTGGGTGCTTTGCCATCAGCACAGTTCATCAGTGTCTCTCCCACATCCTGACCTTATGTACCAAATGCAGCTGGTTGGCAGATTGCCCATGATGTGCCAACCTCTGAAACTGCATCTGACACATGATGCAATTAAGCAGAAAGTGGCTGCAGAGCTGTGCTGCAAATGTGTGAGATATACAGCAGCTAGGGTAGACAGGCAAAGCATGAGGGGAGAACTAATGGTGAAAGTCTCATGCTCAGCACATAAAACTTCACAGGTGTAAAGGACACTTCATTAAATGTCACTTGATACAAGCCACTGTTGCAAGAGTCATACAATACAAAGCACTTGATTCCTAACCCGCCAGCTCAGGTCTCTTATCTAACCCGGTTCATATCCATGCACTGAGCCGTTGGCAACCACAAGGGAAAAGGAGAATGTACTCTGTAAATAGTCATTGCTAGCATTAGTGCCTGCTTGCTGTTCTCTTCGCATTTCTGGGCAGGAAAGGTAAAGCTCTGTTCAGTCAACAGACAAATTTTACCTCACTCCTCCCACAGGGAATACAAAGTCTAGTGTTCAAAGAATTCTCATGAGTTACCGATCTTCACTCTTTCTTTAAAACTCTCAGCACTATACCCCTCCTATTTCTCTTCTAAGCCTCTAAAATTGCTTTAATGCTTACAAAGCATTTGACTCAATATGATTTTTAAAAGACCCCTCCTCCCCTGAATTTTGAAGAATTGATAATTTGCACTTTTATAGGCAGAGATAGGGATCACAGTCTCATACTCTACCTGTATTCTCTCCTTCAGCTTCTGGGAATGCTTCTTCCTCTCATTTATCTTCTGGCTTTTCTCCTCTAGGTCTGCCTCCAGCTTCTTTACCTGCTGCAGCAAAAAACCTTCCTCAGCCTCTGAGCTCTTCCTTTGCTCTATTTCTCTTTGCTGACAATTCTTCTTTGTTTCAGATTGCTGCATAGCATTTTTCAAGTCCTCTTTTTCTCTCACATGAGAGGCTTGCAGTTTGCTTGTTTTCTGAGTACATTCTTCAGTTGCACTCTGGTTCTCACTCTTCAGGTTTTCCATCTCATTTATTAGAGCTTGTCCTTCCACGCTGTATTTTTCATCTAAAATTACTTTTTTATCTAAATTTGCTCTTCTAGATGCTTTGCACTCATTTAGCAGCCCATCAGACTCCTGATTTAAATGTAGCAGCTTGTTTTCAAAGTCTGCATTGGTATCTACCGTGTCTGTAGAAAGGACTGTCTGTGCTTGTTTCGCTTCTGTTCTCGGCTCCCTCTCTTCCACCTGCTTCTTGCACAATGTTAACTCTGCCAAGGCTTCTTCCTTTAGTCTCTTGTGTTGTTCTACTGCAATTTCAAGGGCCTGAATACGTTTTCTCAGCAATTGTTCTTCTTCAACTTTGCTTTTACACTGGAGAATCGTCTCCCTTGTCTCAGCAAGAATGTGCTGAATTTCTTCTTCATGAGCCTCTCTCAAAGTCTGTATACTAGCCTCATGTTCATCATTCTTAGTGTTCAGGGTATATATCACCTATAGAACAACAAAAATAACAGGAAATTAAAGTAAATGGTAGTCATTAATTCAGTTACTAAATTTATCAAGGTGTGAAATGCTGAAAGAGAATTACTGCTACAGTTTAATCTTTTTTTGTTGTTTCTTTGTAGTGGTTTTTTTATTTCACTAGGAACAGAAGGGACGATTATAAACTGCAAAACCTTTTATAGGGAAGGAAGAGAATACTGTGAGACACAATTTTTTTTTTTACTTTTTGTCAGAAATTTCTTATTCTTGGCAAGTTGTCACTTCATGCCCCTAGTTTGATCTCTGATACAAGGAACGAAATAGGGCCCCTTCTCTAGCTAACTGATTCTGTATTTGTAGTCCAGTTCACCTAGCCTTCAGTGCAGGAGGACTAGCTGCCACGTTGCCTTTAGCATTAGCAAGTGCTGGAGACCAGTAGTAGCAGATCTGTAGAGTGAAACCTGAAGTCCTGACATCCAGTTCATGTGGACCAAACTCACTGTGATGTAAATGAAAGGAAAGTTTGTAAGGAGGATTAAATTTTGCACTCCTGACTCAAACTAAGACACCACTGAAGATGCACTCCTGGAAGCCGTATGCCTGGCAAGTTAGCTTGGTCAGCATTTCAAGACAGGCATTACTTGACTGCAAGCAGCTTTTGGCTGGATTCTGAGAAGCATTCAGGCAGTTGGTTTTTTTCCCTTACTTCAGTCATAGCTATAAATCTCAGAAATCAAGTTTTAGCAGATTAGAGCGAGCCTCTGATGACAAGAAGCAATTTTTTCAAACAATTGATTTAAACCTTTTGATGGTTTATTTTCTTCTACAAAATGCAGAATAATAAATCTCATAACTGTAAGACAAATTATTACCCCAAGCAGGCTTCGTCTGTTACCCATGATATACACCAAAGACCTCTCACAGAAGTTGTTGTACATGCACGCTACTATTGTTTTGAAAAGAAAATGCTATTAGAAGCCCACAGTAGAAGTGAAGAGTTCACAGTCAAAACTGGTAAATGTGCATGTTAAGCTTACAAGACAGTTATATATAATTGCAAAACATAGTAACTGCCTGCTTGTTAACTGACACATGCTTGTCTTTTCAGGCCCGCATTAGGACACATGGGGCCTAATTCAGTTTCTACTGGGCATAGTTATCTAACTCAAGGGGAACAACACATTATGTATTAACATATGTGTGGAGGTTTTCCACTTGTTTGGTTGGTTGGGGGTTTTTTTAGAGAGAACTTATTGCTCTACGAAACTAGGTTTGGAATTTGTATACAAGTTATGACAGATACTTTCAGTCTGGCCCTAGCCCATAGAGGTTAATCAAAAGATTCCTAGACAATGTTTGAGAAAATAATAGTCTTAAGTACATAAATAAATACAGAAGCAAGGTCACAACTAATTCTTTAATTATAATAGAATGTTGGCCCTGTCATCTTCAGTATTTCCTCAGGGAAAGCCTCAATTGAGAGACCAATAGGTGTCTTCACCACAGTGAGTGTCACAATTCTGTAGTCTGTGTTGTATAAGCCCTGAGGATGTCTCCAGAATTATTGAATTTGCTTAGCTATGTCCAACCATTTTTTGTGCTATCTGTATATGAATAACATATTGAATTTCAGTCATCCATAAACGAAAGCAAACACACAAATACATCTTGCATGTAGTCAACTTCCTCTCTGGCAGTAATGAATTAAGTACAGAAATCTTAAAAAGTCACAAATGCAAAACATGGTCTGGATACATTTCTGGACAAATATGTGACAAAAGAGAGTAACATCATCATATTCCAGAAGACAAGCAGACAAGAAGTCATTGTCTACATTTAGATATGTATATCTGTGGGCCTTAGCATTAACATGCTGTTAATTCTTCTCTGTTATTTTTAACCATTTTTCCTTTGAAACAGAAATAGTTGCAGGATACCGAGCAGACTCCTTCTCCCCACTAACTAAAATCATTCTATGAACCTTTCTTAACTGTTCAGGAGACAGACATAAAAACTACAAGGAGAAGATTAATTTTGCCCATGGGTTTAGAATGACCAGTAATTAGTTTGGGCAACTCTTCAATTAACTATGTCAGATGTTGATGATCACATTTCTGTGTTTCATTCCACCAGCAAAACAGAGATGAACATCCGGCTTTTGTGACTCCAAGACTTCCACTCTTAATGATCAATTTATTTAGTAAATCAGCACTGTGTGTCTCATATTATGTTGTTTTCAGGCTGATGGTAGAATTTGGGTTCCTATAAAGTCTGACTTCATCATACAGATTTCCCAAATTCCACTGAGCATTAGACCATCACCAACATCTTGAGTGAGTTATCTAAAAGAATGGAAGAAACTGGCCTCCCTGCTCTATCTATTATTCCGACACTTCTGTTCAATAGTGGCTAGAACCACAATGAAGAATTTTGACCTGAAAATGCATGCCCTTAAATTTAATCTTCAAGCTTGAGTGCTGAAACTGATTCCTCAGTATCTTAACCTTCCTAAGAGATTTAATTTTTAGAGGGCTGCTGCTCTGTACTTTACAAAATTTAAGACCCTCACACATGCCTTTCACTCCCTACCGAATATAGCTACTATATTCGTATTCTAGATACCTCATTTAAGAGACTGGAGTTATGTGACATGAATCTGGGACTTTATAAGCTGGAACGAAAAATACTGAAAAATTATTTCAGCATCTGTACTTTGCGAGTGTACATACTGCTGGCTAATGTGGTATAAACCTCTTAACAGTTGTGTTGATAAACAGCTTTTTAAAAGCAGCTCTAAAATTGATCAGTTTGACAATACAGACACAATTGCTTTTAAATGAAAAGCGCACTACGTTATTCTCTGAGTTACTAGCATAATACCAATGGCTACTGCCTCCTTCAGTTCTCCAAAACTGAATGTATTGGAAACATTGTACTGATTTTACAGCAACTGAGAGTTATATGACAGGTTGGTAAAAACACACCCAAGCTGTTTTCCACAGCTCCTCAGGCTTGAGAAGAGCTGCATCGCTTGTGTCCTGCACCGGAACGAATCCTAATTGCTGTACTAAAAAAGGATTTTGCTTCAGGATATTCTCTTTTAGCGCAGGGTCAATCTAAATCCTTTCATCCCTTGCTCCAACCATATTAATAAAGCCTTTCAGATCCTGGAGGGGTGGGAGGGGGGTGGAGCACAAGGTAGCCAATGGCTCTGTATGAAATCTGCTGTGTTTAGATGATCTGATGTCTCCTTGGGCAGAAGCTCACTGTGCAATGTCTCACCCTCCTGAATGTCCCACAGTATCCATAGTATTTGTGGTTTTTCGTATCTAGAGATCCACACTGGAAGAGGGAAAATTGATCTTACATTCTTAAAATTTGAGCATATTGCCCTTTTTCCTACATGTACCATGTATTACAGTCAGTCCAAAAATACATTGATACACTAAAAATGTATCAAGAAACTATAAGCATAAAATGTCTACAGGTTTCTAATCTCTTTTGGCATGTTTTTGCCTCTTTCTGTCTCTTCCTTCGGTTTTTTTCCCCCTTTTAGTTTAAATTTTATACAAGGAAATCCCACATGCACATTTATTCATTCCCATTTTTCACTTTTTTATTTTTCTGCCTAGTGCAGTGCAATACTGAACATAGAAAACCTTAGTTTAGTGGCCTATGTATTGCACTTGATCTCTCAAGTGCGATAGAACAAAAATTAGCCCTGGCCTAAATTTTACTAAAGAGACATTCAGCTGTCCCTCATTTGTATTTTACAGTTTTAATAAGCTAAGCAGAATAATTGCCAGGCAACTTAAGAATTAGGAAAGTAAAACTATATTGCAAGAATGTTTCCACAAGCAGAGCAGGTGCTAAAAAAGGCACCAATACCGCATCCCAACAATTTCAGTAAATTTCAGGATCACAAAAGTTAATTCTAGACAGAGACTCCTCTGCTGGGAAACTCACATGCAGTTTATTAGTTAAATTTCTTCTGGAACTGTTCTGTAAAATCTATTCAACTTTAATCCCTTCTCTTTACACTAGTCACAAATACACCTGCCATGACTCTGGTTGTAAGCAGTGCATCCTCAGCACCTCAAGAAATAGGTCTTCCTAGACAGTCATGGAAATATTAAAGATTCCTCCAGTTCTGACATGGAAATTTTGAGAGAAACTGGTTGTTCTGAAACACAGCTACCACAGGAGGTCAGAGGAGGTCGCTAGTAATTACTGCAAGGAAACGATGAGAAAAACCCTGCACATTTCATTCTCAGAAGGATGTTTCCTGCATACAAGAGATGGGATTCATTTCACCTAACATCATCCATTTCATCATTACACGTCTAATCGAGGTTAGTCAATGGAGAAAGACAGGTGCCTCCAAAGGACAATGTTTTCCTTTCCAGTACAGGCGTCTAGATCAGGTAATAGAAGTGAAGTGAATTGCTTCAGGTCTTTGACTGGTTGTTTTGTTATTGTTTCTTCTGCATACCCAACTTCCCAGCTTTTCCTTCTTCTATAGAGCTGAGACAGAGTCCCATACAGAGGGAAGAGACAAGTTTTAATTCTCAGAAGCTGAAACGGATTCATTTTCCTCTGTTTCTCTGTTTTCTGCACTAATGTCTCAGTTCATATTGTCTTCAATTCTGTATACCCACTTCATGTTCTTTTACCAACACTTTACAAACCAAAACAGATATTGGGCATACAGATACCATGCACATCTGCTTTCATGCAGGATCTTGGAAAAACAAGCTTTTTTCCAAACTGAATGCAGTTTATTTTGTTTTCCATCTATATTCCTTTTTTCTTTCCATCTTGTTTAGGTGTTTATGATTCCCTTTGCATTAGTATAATCTGTTCATTTTAATACATTGTTTATTTTTACTTCCAGATCATTAATTAATATGCAAAATACTGCAAACTCTAACCCAGATCTTTGTAGCATCTGCCTCCCTACAATATGATGTTATAAACCTTTTGTTTATAGTTCCTGATTCATGTTATAT